CAGCGACGGAGGACTGCTGGGGTGGTTGGGGAGAAGGGGTATGTGGATTTGGGTCCTGGGAATGTGAATATTGGTATGGACTCTGGGAATGGGTATATGGGTGTGAATACGAATATGGGGGTATGCCGCTGGCGGAGTTGGTGAGTGACAGTACGCAGCGGCCGGTGGAGTTGGACTCCGGGAAGGTGCAGCGGTGATGGATGTGTGTTGTTGTTATGTGTTTGCGTTATAGTTTGATACCTGGCTGTCTTTTGTTGATATGTCCGTTACTTAACTAACCTAATGTTGGGCTGCAAGGGATGATGTCAGATGTCCTAGGCTCATGGTTGCAGGGTATGAATTACGAGTTGGCTGCTTCGTATATCTTTCTAATACGAGATGCGGACTTGGTCTGGCCAACCTAATCGCGTTACTAATGACATTCGTCGTGTTTCCATTGTTTATTGCTGATTCTTATCTCTCTTTTCTTTATTTATTTATTTTTTCCTATCTCGTATAGCCATGTCTACCAGTAGACTTGTCGTATCATCTATCGGAGCCAGTATCCACGTTGGATGTGCAAGTGCATCGCCCGTTCCTCCCGGACAGATGGCTCCTTGTGGTTCGCCCTGCGCGCGTGGGAGGATTGAACATGGGTGGTATCTGCGGTTGTTCAGTGCCCGTCGGTTGGGTTTCAGGCGTGCCGGACATGTCCAAGCGCCGCAGACCGGGCAGTCGCAGCGCCGGATCGAAGTTGATGAGGATGATCGCCTGAAGGTCGGAGCGCAGGCCCTCCTGGTTCACGGTGTAGATGATGGTCCGTTCGTCCGCCATGGCCTCGACCTTGCCGGTGCGCTTGGAGGGGCAGAGCAGTTGGGCCAACTCAGGCGGCGCGTTGTCAGGCGGCCAGAGGCGGATGCCGCGGGATGCGAAGCGCTCGTCACTGCCGTCCGCAGGTGGTCCATCACCGTCCTGGTCGTCTTCCGTAATCTCCGGACGATAGAGCCGGTTCGGGGGCCCTTCTTCGCCCGCCTCATCGATCGGGCACTTGCGCTTGCGCGACACCATGCGCAGCCGTAAGCGGTCGTGCGGAATTAGGCTGCCGGGGGTAGGGCAGGGGTCGTTGACGAGATCGATGAAGGTTGAGGCGCACAGGTTGTAAGTGCGGAGCTTGGTGCGGTTCAAGATGAAGTCCCGCCGGGGCACAGGGTCGTCGCCGCCGCCCAAGGGGTATTCGGGGTGATAGTGTCGGCGGAGGCGCTTGCGGGGGCGTTCGTAGTTCGGTTTGCTGGACGAGTCCAGGGTTTTGGTCAACGGTTCGTCCGGCAGAGAGACGGGACGGAAGGCTTCGCCCTGGTGCTTACTGTGGATGATCTCGCTGGGCGATGGGAGCGGCTGCACGTAGTATGTGCGAATGTTCTCACTGCCGCCCTTGTGCCACTCGCGGCGACATTCCAGGATGATCAGCTGTTGGGTGGCCTCATCGTGTCGCAGCGAGATATCCGACCACGAGTCATTAATGGGGCCTTCCCGATGCTGGCGGCGCCAGGTCCGGTTCAGTGTCACGCGCTTCGTATTGTCGGTGGGGGCCACGCAGACCCAAACGTAGAAGGATGTCCAGTCGACCTCTTCCATCTCGAACGACGCCTGCGTCGACACGGCGTACAGATGGTCCTGGTGGATATCAAAACACACTGTTTGTCCGATTTCGTTGCCGGCGAAATTGTGCAGTTGCACCGGGGTCTCGTTCGTCTGTTTGCCCGTCGCCAGCTCGACGCAGTTGACGATCCATTGCTTATAGCCATGGTAGCCCGCGCCGGAGTGGGTCCCGTAGTAGAGGTAAGATTGGTTGTGTCGCACGAATAATCGCTGTTTGTTCTCGAGTTGGCGGCGCAGGCGCAATCGCCCCTTTCCCCCTTCCGTCTTTCGCCGCATATCCACCGCCAGGAGCCAGGTCTCCCGTCGTTCGACAATGTCCACGGCAATGGCCAGCACGCCATGGCTGTAGTTCATCAGCGACAGTTGGGTTGCGTCTTCGGTCGGGTCGCAGCCCGGGATCACGCGCGACAGGACCGCGTGCAGATTCAGGACATGCTCGACTTGGCTGGCCCCATGGACATCCAACGCGCGGATCTCGTCGTTGAACACGTAGCACAGCGCACCGCCGCTGTAGAGAAAGGCGCTCCCGTAGCCGATAATCGAGGCGGAATACGGATCTGCGGTTGCCACTGCTTCCTTAATGTCATAGAGACGCCCCAGTGCGTGGCGGTATCCAGACTTGTTCTCACTTGCTTGTTGCCCTTCCTTGGTATGGAGGAGGTGGTTCTGTCGCGGTGTTAGTGTTCCGTCCCACCCGGAGAGGGTAGAGAGGCTCGTACCTCGACTGTCTTCCGTGCCAGCGATTCGTTTCGCATCAAGGCATTCAGGCTTCGATTCACCCGGCTGAGATGTATGAAGTCATGACAGTCCAGGGTGGATGCCACTTGGTAGAAAACATCGTACGGGATACAATCTAGATTTTTGGTCATCTCTAACATGACCGAGGGGGCACACGATGGGTGTGAAAAGCATCTGAAGGAAGTCGGCCGCACTGAAGGAGTGTAGGAGATAATATAATACGAGAGTTTCACGACGGTGTTCTCCAAGGAAATCAGCAGTGAATGTCAGGAGTGCAACGCAAGTCAATGGCTGCGACAAAGGATGAAGATTACCCAAGGAGAGGCAATCACCCATGCAGCGGGATTCAATTCAGCCCGTGGAGCATGTTTTAGTAGTTCAGGAATGCGGCTCTAGCACAAGCATGAGGATCATTTTCGAAACGAGATCCAAGGCCCGATGGAATCATGGAGCCTCTCGGCCCCAGCGCGACGATTGGCTAGGAAGCGCTTATTAGGAACTCTTTAGTGGACATCAGAATTAAAGCCACGCCACATGCATCGAATGAAGGTCCGCGCGTCAAGGTCGGATGATGAAAGGCAGCGATCATCGCTCGTTTCCTCTAGACCAGTGGGGTTTGTTCTTCCCGCCTCCCGTGTCGCGGTTTCCCACATCTAAGAGCCTCAATCTCGCCGTCACTGGGGGGTTTTTTTTGTTTCCTTGTTCTTGTCTGTGATACACGGGGAATGAGGCCGGGTGGGATTGGTGGATCTGATTTCCATGCTTCTTTCTTGTCCTTCCTTCTCTCTTTCTGGCAACTAGAGAGCTAAAAATAACTCATCATTGGGAAACGAACTTGCTGGGTCTTGAATGAGCGCAAACTTTTGTTGGGGCTTCACCGACTTTGGCCCTCTTTTTGCGGCTCTTTTCGCTCAGCGTGGCGGAAAACAAAGCGACCGGCGCTATTTTTCTCACGCCGGTCGCTTCGTTCCGCCGTGACTACGACGAAACTATACCCCATCCTGTCGGGCCCCGATTTTGCCTCGTTGCGCGTCGGAGAAACACTGATGTCTCAGCGTGACACTATCGAAATTGAAATCAAGCCCAGTCCGTCCAAAGTGATGCGGCTGCAGGACTCTGTACGAGCTGATCCTTTACCCCGAGGAACACATCTCTTTGCCACACCCGGTAAAAATTATCGACCAATGATGCTGAATGGGTGAACACCAGTCCCTGGAGCTTTTCCGTCTTACGTGAATTATTGGAACATTGAATTCAGATGCAACAATAAATACAGCAATGATCAGAACCGAAAAGGAAACTCGGAGGAACATCCTCGGGCCAGAATTGCCATATCAAACCATCGCGTGGCGGTGCTAGTAAGCTGCCAACCATCCATGCCGTCATATTCGTCAACCAACTGGTCAGTGCGTGTCCTCCGAGCACATCTTAAAAATCTGCTCACCCGTGGACACGTCTACGGAACACTCTCAACTGAGTAATGCATCGAGCCACTAGACCTGACGGGACGCTCGAAATATGGTTGCCTTTCGAGTCAAACAATGGCGACGGCAAACAATTAAGTGCGCATCAACTGCGCCTTGCACTGCCTCGTTCCGAACGAGGATCAATCAGGTACCCCGGAAGAGGCTGGTCATCCAGATCGCCGCACTGAGGCCCAAGATGGCACACGATCGCCTGTCAAGCCAAGTGTAAGGTGCTCATGCTGGGGGGCTCTTATGCAATGGGGAGCAGGTCCCACGATGACTGGTCGTCTCGTTTGATACCGGATAGCCAGCCTCGTCGCGGCGTGAGCTCCCAACGTAAGGTGGCCGGGTCATCTTTGTTCATTGAGACCCACCTGCCAATCATAAATGGCCCGTTCGAGATAAGCCATAAGCATGGAGATTCGAGCTCTGCGGGGTATCGCAACAGGTCCAAACCTAGACCCCCGTCACGTTGTACGCTGCACATCACCCCACGAGATGTATTGACGATCTTCCGAGTGGGTGAGCACCCAGATTGGTTGACGCGTTTGCAAACAGGGTCGATAGATTCGTCTGGAACCCGTGTCCATGCGTCGCTCAAGACAAGGGAAGCAAGGATCCCTGTTTGGTCACATTCCTGCTAGCCGGCTGCTTTGTTTGCTAGCATCCTTGTAGACCCCGAAGGAAGAGGGGTTGGTGATGATTATATGGAGCACGAGCACAGACAATTGAGTTTCCCTCCGGTGTCTCGATAATGAGGCTAGCCTCGGTGTATGGAATTGCTGAGGGGCCAATCCTCGTGTCGAGGAGCTCAGTGAGGCTCAACATGACATGTTGTGAATATATCTAGAGGCTCCTGTCCTCCGTCCTGGGATACTCTTGTGCCAGTAAGGTTTAATTCTTGATCCTTTTACCGTCGAAGTTCTACTCATGGGCTATGTCCTTGGATCACGGCGCAAGTCATTTGTCACTCTCTACCGCCATTGCTGGCTTTGTGTCGTTGAGGCTCTTAACATCACCACGCCTCCACAGCGGGTAGGTATCATGAATACCTTGGGAACATAAGTAAATGGGACTACACTGTATAAACCTGGTCCGTGTTGCATTAGATTCTGCATAAAGATAAAGCTTTACTATACTACCACCAGGCCAGCCTCAGTCAATGCACCGTTCATCATGCCGCGGAGTTGGCTATCGGTTCCGGTGCTTACTCCCAGCGCGGTTCGCGGTGGAACATAACATCCCGACTAACATGTTGCCTAGTGGTCATGTGAGCTGACCCCGTGACCAGCCACAAAAGACTTGGCCGTCAAGCAGAAGCATCTGGCCCCTGACGGTCTGAAGATACTCGTACCATAATCAACCCAAGAAAGTGATAAGAGGGCTGGGATGACTGTGGTGCAGGCCTCGTGACTGGACTGGATTCACTGAGACGCATGACTCCTGGCCAAGCCTGGATGATCGGCCAGCCGACAACCGACGATTCTATCATTGTACAGTAGTCCTACCGTCATCGTTGTTTTGCCCGGCTGCAGGCCAAGCCCGAGACTGTTATGCTGGTGCCTAGCGAACATTCCGGAAGGTTGCCCAATCGGGACAAGCGCCGAACTGGTTGAGATTCCTGGGGGATGGATTGGCCCGGTAGGCATCCACCGTGGCACGTCCCATGGAACCAGGGCTGTAGGGCTGTCCCATCCAGATTAATAGAGTACTCCGTACGTATCATGTGTTGAGAAACATGATGCCAGACGTTCTGCAAGATGGGTCCAGGGGGCGAATTCTATTTGCCGAGATTCCCGTAATCCACCTTCAGGAGTCTGCGGTAAGGCTGACGGCCTCCCACTGGATTGATGCTGATGGGCGTTCCGTAAGTCATCGATTACTCATGCCGATCGAAGGTGACATTTTTTTGGGGGTCAATTTCTGGTGCGATTGTTGTGGGATATGATGGTAGATCTCACCAAGAAAAAAGAAGTAGCATAATCAGACCGGTCCAATTGACTTGCATCGTCAGTCACTACTACGAGGACTAACCCTCGCGTCAACTGCACTGGGAACAAATAAGGCAAAAAAGACGTCTCTCACTTGACCGCTGCTGCCCTATCCGTCTCGTGTCAGACCCACAGGGGCCAAACGGGCCAATCGCCCGACGGGACGGACCCCACCGTGGAATGCGGACTATCAGCCATCCTGCCTGAGGTTTCCCCGTTCTTGTTAAATCTCGCGTTCCTGTCATTTCTTCTTCCTCTTCTTTCACTTCTGATTCCCTGTCCACCTTGTTCGTTCTCTTTCTGTTCCATCTTCCCCCACCATTCTGTCTCCAGTGGGAAGATAAGCTTACTTTTCTTCACGATCTTGTAGATTGAGGGGTTCGTGTTTAGTCCGAGACGGTGCACTGACTTTCTCCACACGAAGGAACTGTTTCTTGGCGAGGGGAAATTGATCACTCCCTCACTACACACGCACACACTTGTGATCCTTTCACGGTCACGAGCATCTTCTCAAATCCATCCTAATTGATGTACTACCAAAACTACAATTACCCTCCCCCCAATCGCTGGGGAGGTGGTTACTATCCGCCGCCGCAGCAACAGCAGCAACAGTGGGCACCGCCGCCGCAGCCTTACTAGTAAGAGACCGCTTTTGTCCACTCACCGTAATGCTGGTAGGGCTAACCGGTCCAAGTTCCAATGGATATCCTCCTCCAGCACAACCTCCCCAGTCATATTCTCCACCACAATATCCGCCCCCTGGTCAGTATGGCCATCACACTCCGACCCCGCCCCCGTCATCGGGGTCACAGTATCGCTCCTATCACAGTAAGCGAAGGCATACCAGTCTTGCTGCCGGACAGGTCCCACTAACCACCCTAGGTCACTCGCCGTCATGGGGCCAAAGCCAAACGCCCCCACGCCCTCCGATGGAGGCGCAGCAGTTCGGCAAGGGAGCTCCGTCCAACTATCGCTTCCAGTACTCCGCTTGTACGGGTCGACGGAAGGCTCTGTTGATCGGTATCAACTATGCCGGGCAACCGAACGCCCTCCGCGGCTGTATCAATGACGTGACCAATATGTCGACTTTCCTTCATGATCGATACGGCTACCGGAGAGAAGATATGGTCATCCTGACCGACGACCAACAGAACCCCATGAGTGTCCCGACCAAAGCCAATATCCTGCGAGCAATGCAATGGCTGGTCAGGGATGCGCAGCCGAATGATTCGCTTTTCATTCATTTCTCAGGTAGAGACCACCGCGGAAGCTGACCGGGATGTTATTGGCTGACTGATCTAGGACATGGCGGCCGAACGCCGGATCTGGATGGAGACGAGGAGATGGTACGTTTTAACCCATGATATCATGTCCATTCGTGACTATTGCTGACGGGTACCAGGATACGACGATGTTATCTACCCGTTGGACTACCGTACGGCTGGACATATCGTAGACGACGACATGCACGATATTATGTATGTATGCTTTGATTTGCTGCTCGACTGACTACTGACAAAGCTTTCAGGGTACGGCCGCTGAAACCAGGTGTGCGTCTGACTGCTATTTTCGACTCCTGCCACTCGGGTACGGCCCTGGACCTTCCTTACGTATACTCCACTCAGGTACGTTTTCTCGCGTTTAATATGCCTTCACGATACTCATTCTGGTTAGGGTATTCTGAAAGAACCCAATCTCGCCAAAGAGGCGGCCCAGGATCTCTTTAGCGCCATCACGTCATATGGACAAGGTGACTTTGCTAGTGTCGCCCAGACTGCAATTGGCTTCCTCAAGAAAGCCGCCCTGGGCGACTCTGCGCGCCAACGGACCGTTAGAACCAAGACCTCTCCTGCGGATGTGGTCATGTTTTCAGGCTCCAAGGATACCCAGACTTCGTAAGTACCCCCCGCGGGTGTCATAGTCGTTCGCAGCTAACAAGGTAATAGAGCGGATACCTTCCAGGACGGAGAGGCTCGAGGTGCATTGAGTTGGGCTTTTATCAAGACATTGAAACAGCGTCCACAGCAGAGCTATTTACAACTGCTAAACTCGGTTCGGTCCGAATTAGAAGGCAAATACAGCCAGAAGCCGCAGCTGAGCTGCAGCCACCCACTCGGTGAGTCTTGTGTTTCTGAATTTTTCTGTTCTTTACTAACGGCTCTAGATGTCAATTTACTTTTTGTGATGTGATATGTATTGTACGAGACATGATGTATGCGTAGTTATTTTTTTCTTTTCTTTTTGGGTTTACACGATTCTATGACATTCAATAGCATTGCATTGGCCTCGAGCAAAGTCCCGGCCATATTTCCTTTCGGCTTCACTTCTACGCATTGTTTGGCTAGATAGCAGCGCTGTAGTGTTGTTAATAATACTCCCTGACCAACTGCCCGCTGAAGGTACAACGCTTTTAGTCTTGGCCACAGGGCTTCCTTTCCTCTCTTGCTACCGTCGTGGAATTAAGCTCTAAGTGTACAGCTGACATGGATGTTAATAATAAGTCTTGATAATCGACATCACACCCTCGTCCGAGGCGTTGACTAACCTGTAAGAGCCTCCCCATTATAGCCATGTATATAAATCTGGCACACTTGATATTCGTATATAACATTGAATAGTGTAAGCTCCCGGTATGTCGAGTCTCGGTTCTAGGTGATGGTACCCGCTATGGGATTAACAGAGGGTCTACTGCAGGGCTAGATGGTCTGTCAGCTAGGTAAGGGTATGTTAAATGGAGAAGAATGAAACTGCTTATCATTAACTGAATAGTGGAACAGATACTAAGGAACTGATTCTTGCCTGCACCCCCTTCCTTTGTCTTTAGTCCCGCTGTTAAATAACTTGGGAGCCTCTTATATCCCGTGATATTCTGATACCAGGGGCAAAGGACTATCCGTTCAGCTAACCTTTTTCCTGGCTGGGTTAAGACTGCAACGGGGACCGGGGATGGTGCACGGAGGAATAGAGTATCCAGGGACCCGGAGGATCTGTGACACATGGGTAGCAAGCGAGAGTAAGGAACATGCAATCCATGTCCTAGTCGAGACCTGAAAGGGGAGAAATGAAAGATGATGCTAAGCGCTAGCGTTGGTAGTCAATGTCTTCCTGGATACTACTCCATCACATGAAGTACGCTCAGAGTTTGGTGATGCTCAGGCCCGAGGGGTTTCTCTTGTCCTGCCAAACGCTTTTCTAAGATACACCAGGGCATTCTCATAGTGGCTGAGACCGTCATAGACAATGCCAATCCAATGAAGCGTGTTCAAAGTATCTTGATGTTCAGGCTAGAGTACTTTCCCCTGTCCTTCTAGGGCATATTGGAATTGCTCGAGCGCTCGCTCGCTCTGACCGAGATTGTAATGACGCATTGACATTCTTTAAGAAGCCGAAGAATAGTTATCGTTGCTCAGTGCACGAATCCTTGTGTTCGAATTCTTGTAATCGCCTCTCAAGTGCAAAACTTTCAAAATGTCCAAAGCCTGGCGTAAAACTTTCTCTGGACGCTCGCCCAACGAAGATGCAAATTTATTAAGCTCATCTTGCTGGGAATGCAGAGACTCGTCTTCAATCATATTCATGGACAAAAGCTCCAGCCAAGCAATCCATTGGTCTGAATCCAAAAACCTGTCTATCCTCGAATAGACTCTGACGGTAAAACCAGATTGATATATATGGGCATTCATATATATAGACGAGTAACGCAGGAAGTGATAATCGCGTCCAAGCTCAGGCGATTTGTCCCAGTCATGCAATGGTGAACCGTAGTCGCATTTTGAAAGGTACTCTATACAAGCCGCTGCAAACTGACAGTGTGTGCCATCTAAAGGCACACGAAAAGTCATGATTTGACGTTTTCTCCGCCGGTGTGGCCATTGGCTCTTAGGTCTCACTAGAAACTCCTTGACGGAAAAGTGCACCAGCTGCAAGAAACCGTTTGTGATATCGATGAGATCACCGCAGACGTCGACGATCCTGCGATTCAGTTGCGGGATGAGATAATCCTCTATAGAATATCCATCACGTGTGCAAGTCGACAATACAGTAAACTAGTTCTGAGCCAAATGCGGCTATCGTGTCGAAGGCCATCCACAGATCAGAGGCTGTAGGTTGCCCTCTCAACATCAAGTTCTTAAGAATCAAGATAGTTACTTCCTCAGGGGTAATTTTCACCAACTACCATAGTAGCGAACGGATTAGTCCACTTGAATTTTGCTGACTGGCATACATGTTAGAGAATGCGAAGAGTAGCGCAGGGACTTTGTTACTCCACATGTGATCGACAATAGAGGATGTCAGAATGCTTTTGCCACAGTCGGGAGAGCTATAGATACATATAAGTCTGTCTGGAGCTGATAAGGGAGGCAATGCGTTCCATCTACTGAATATTCAATATGTTTGACCAGATCCAGTCACAGGTAAAGTTGGTTTGGGGCGGGTTCGGGCTCGAGATCTCCGTCCCGCCCCCGATGCTGGGTCGGGTTTCCAGAGGTTCAACTTGTTCCGGCCCCGAACCCGTACGGATTTTAGTTGACCCTGCCCGGTACTACTTGCTACGAGAATTAAATTACGTTAGTTAACTAGTTAGGAATAGTAATGATTGCTTAGCCATCGGCCGCTTTACCTGCAACCACCCGTCCTTCTCCCCATAGGCTCGTGCTAGTGTCGCCCTGCATTATCCCTTACAGAGTTTTCAGGTCCACAATTGTTTTCGGGCTCGCCTGCGGGATCACCATCGGGCCGTTGTGAGTTTCCGTGGCACACCAGAGAATTTCCATGCCTTCTTTTTGGTTTTCTACACCTGCCAGAAGTATCGTCTCGCTTCTGTATGGCTTTATATAGCTCGTTGCAAGAACGGCGCAAATGTTCGTACTCTTGATATCATGCTGTTGCCTCAAGGTTAAACTGTATTTGCTAGAGATACAGGGTAGCTTGTGTAATATATTGGTAATTCAAATACTGTGGATAAAACAGATTATCATATGACAACGCTTACTTGCATTCCGATGATATCAAATCATCAAATGTAATTCGAGATGGGCCGAAAGTTGTATCACATGTTTTAATGGAATTGAGGGAGTCTCTCAAATGTTTCAAAACCGACCATCAAACAAGCACCTATTATAGAAAGGAGCAATACTTTGAGCATTCTTCTAGTGATCGTAGGGAAAGAAGGGCAGAATACAAAACTTGGTCACCGAACGGTGGAATCAGCGTCCATATCCTTTGGCATTCTCAATAGTGTAGTAAAACTAGGTGATGGTCTGGTCCTATGTAGACAGTCTAAGGATCCATTCGAATAATACTTCAGTTAGTAGTACGACAGGGCAAGGATCGGCTTTCTGCTTGCCAAGTATCTATTCTCTTGCTTTCTGCCTAGTTGACAGCCCGCGAAGGATCCATCTCCTGGAGCTTACCAATGAAGTAGCAAGCACATTTCAGCGGTACTGTAATACCTAGATCAGAGACTATTTCTTACCAAGCGTTACAACCCGATACCGGCGCTAATCAGATCATGGGATCACCCGGGAAGAACCTTCGCCAATGATATGCAAGAGCTTAGTTGCAATTGGTTGCAACTCTTGGGTCCTTTAAAATACACGATCCGCTGTAAGCTCCGGATCCGGTCTAGTGCCGCTGGCTCCGACGCCCACGACAGCCTATCACACATTTTGACGAGGGGACCCTTGTTATAGTACTCTAATACTATATCTCCCAGTCCCTATTCTCCCTACAGTGGTCTACTCTGTTACTACGAAGTAGTACAGCACCAAGATGTTAAAGCCCCACCAGGTGCAGAAATGCTACTGTGTCTCAATGGATCTTCGTAGAGCCAGAAACCAAGTCTTACTCCCCAGTGAGGATTATCGTTCTTGCGTTATCCTTTGTATTATTATTATTATTATTATTATTATTATTATTATTTTCATCATCATCATTAATATTATTATCTCCACCCACTTGGTTTCCTCTCCGTTTTCTTTTGCTTCCCATTATTTTATGTTCCAGCTTCATCCCGCGTCTTACGTTGTTTTATCAATAATTCTAGCATTTGCGGAGGGGAGTTGTTCCAACGCCGTCGAGCATGGCAATCGGCTGCCCGCCGAGTCTCCTCTCGCTGAACGTCACCCGTCGTCCTCCGTGGGTGTACTACGTTCTCCTCACTGCACTCTTATTCCTCATCATCCATAGTATTTCCACACCAAGGCAAGATTTTGATACCATGCCTTCTTTCTGCGTCCAGACCCTGACTGTTATGCATTGTCCAGGCCATTAGTTCTCCGACCCGGAGATGTGGTGGCCAGCCCCCTCGAAGTAAACCCATCCGACGATCAAGCTCCATTCGCACACGAGCCAATCGGGCTAGGAACGTTACGTGACGTCCGGTATGTTGTTATCTACCTTATTGAGTTGTCGGCCGTTTGTTGACTTCTCCCTCACGGGCATTCTTTCTAGCGAGGATAAGTTTTATCGGGGTGGGACATTGACTTTGACAAGTGCAACCGATGACTATTCGCATCCCAGCCCTGTGATATATGACCCATATCCCGACTATAGCGGAGAGAAGTGGCAGAGGTCGTCTGCAGGGCGTTATAATGCGTGTCAGGGACCAAGAGGGAAATTCTTAGACCGAACAAATCGAGAAGATATGGTATTGGTTTATCCCGGTGTTCAGAAAGGTATATCCCATCACTCGACCGTTTCATATGGTCTAACCTATGAAACAGACTTTCCTAGTCCATTGATTGGGTCTTATGCTGCGACAGGTCTCGACAGCTCTGTGTGCACCGATCGCTATTCTCGCCTGGGTGCCTATGGTTATGGCGACGACCAGCAACAAGGGGCCATCCCAGGCTTCCGGCATTTGGGAAATATCAATTGGGACAGTATCAACTGGAGATCACTCGAATCGCAATGCTTTGAGAGAAACTCAGAGAGATATAAGCCAGGCCAGGTAGATCCGCGTCGGATAGAACATATTCTACCTCGTGCCCCTCCTTCCGCTTCCAAGCCCAACCATCATGGCAACACCGACGCTGCCTCTGGCCCACAGTTTCAGTCGAGATCCGCTGTCGTACTACGCACGTGGCATGATATGGAATGGACCGAGAACCATAAGCACTATGTCAGATCTCTCGTCATGGAGCTCTCATTACACACTGGTGCTGAATACGAGGTATTTCTCCTGTGTCATGTGAAAGATCCGAATGTGTCACTTCACGTGGATGATCAAGATGGAATGCAACGCCTGAAGGCCAAGTATATTCCACCGGAGTTTGCCGACATGACTATATTATATAATGAGGAGACACTGAAGGCGTGGTATCCCAAAGTCGAAGAACATAGGTACAGCGCTTCTATGCAATACATGGATTGTTGTTGCGCATGCTAACCCTTTGCAGCCCCAATCTTCAATATTGGCAGCCAATTCAGGTTTTCTCCCAGCTCTACCCCAATTTCGACTTTTACTGGCACTTGGAAATGGACGCTCGATTTACAGGCCATGCATATCATTTTATGGAACAAACGGCAAAGTTTGCTAAGGAGCAACCGCGAAAATACCTCTGGGAGCGTAATGCATACTGGTACATCCCGGGCACGCACGGCAGCTGGCAAGACTTCAGGAAGATGGTTGATGAGTCTGTGAGAAACAAAGAAAGTGTGTGGGGCCCCAAGCCGGTCTCTGGGCTCACCGCAGCCGGTCCCAGGCCGCCAGTGGCTGATCCCAAGAATGATAATTATGAGTGGGGTGTTGGCGAGGAGGCTGATTTTGTCTCTTTTCTTCCAATTTTCGATCCGACTGACACTCAGTGGACCTATCCCAACAAATTCTGGAATGTACCAGGGGACGCCGCCCGACGCGCGTCAGCCGTGGCCATGGGCCGCATATCAAGGACGTTGCTTCATCTCATGCATGATGCTGAAATCGAGAAAGGCATTGGCGTAGTTTCTGAGATGACAGCCCCGACATTCGCTCTCTGGCACGGACTGAAGGCTGTGTATGTCCCCCACCCCCTTTATATCGATGGTAAGTGGACGTCCAAAGAGCTCGGACGAATATTGAACCCCGGCCCCCCGGAGAAAATCAACGGTGGGGGGGATAGTATCTGGAACTTCGATCATAAATGGGATCATATCTTGTTTCGAATGTCTTACATGTTCACCGCGCAAACTGCCGAAGACCTGTACCGACGGTGGCTAGGCTACAAGATTGATCCCCACCAATATACGGATGGCACTTACGTGAGTTATCTGCTTTTTGCTCATGATCTATTATGGGTGTTAACCGCTTGACCCTTCCAGCACCAAGACCCTCAGGGGCGGAATTGGTTTGAAAGTGGAGACTTGGTATGTTCACGAACGTTCCTTCGCGCTTTGTAGCTTGACCTAACTGTTTTATCAGAGGGAGGAGCTTTACGGCCGACTCTGCTATCCATCCATGCTTCTTCATCCGATTAAAAATACCGCCGAAAAGAAGGGTAAGGCTATGGCGGTACCTGTGTAAACTTTTCCGGTTGTTTAAATATAAAGATATATCCATTCTTCTTCCTGCTTGGTCTGACTGCTCGTTGGCATATGTACGTATGGCTCCCGCGGGACGGCAATATAACAATAACATAATGTGACACGCGTAGATCTTAGATTCCTTCTCACTTGCACCTACGTTGTGCTAAACTGCTAATACATTTTGAAATTTTTGGGGCCCGAATGGGGTAGGGCCGAAAACGCCTCTACCACCGTTATAAGTATATACCTGGTATGTTAGTGGTAGTAGACCTGTATAATAAATGCTTGTCCAGCACGCCATCATAGATGTTATAAAACATACTACGTACTGCTTATCGAGGCTTCACATTACTGGCATGTGCCAGATGATTTGTTGGGGCGCTCGGAAGTTTCGGATTTAACAAAGAAAACAAGAATTATTCCTGGCTTCTTGCTTCATTTGACATAGCGTCCCCTCCGGATAGGCTATTGGTACCTGAAATGTGGGCATCTGGATTCTAGGCCCCTTTTCCGTTGGAATTTTGGGGGAGAACCCTGAGAAGTATAATACGCCTTGTGTTACATCCGACAACGTATTCATGCTATCGTAATACCAATACAGCCACTAGTTTTAGCGCTGGGGCTTGGCCGCCTGTGATACTTTCATTTAACATCCAGGGCCAGGACCCTACGTCGAACAGGGGTACGGTGGTTCAATATTTACTTGTAAAACTAGCTAAAGGCTAGTGAATAAGTCCGTTCATGCAACCTGACTGCGGCAATCCCTATCTGGTAGATGCTGTCTTGAGCTGAGGTTTCATTCTTATCCTGCTTCCCCAAGCGCTCGTCATTGAACATCCTTTCGGAGTTAGCATGCCATTGTAAAACAGCCAGTCGTCAGATGTCTTTCTCACAAGGTCTCTCTTGTTTTACTCCTATTTCTCTACCGTGACATAGTGCAACTGTACTCACGAGACGGTATTGCCTTCATATACATAAAAGACGAAGCAGAAGAAGAAAAAGCAAACATCGGTATCTGGGGTTGTACTCCACTAACACCGGAAGAACGGAAGTACGCCGGTCTGAGCACTACATATCTATTGTTGAGAGATGATTGGAACTTTTGAGTGGGGGGTTGTGCTGGTAATTAAACGACAAGGCTGGTTTCCAGAGACGCCCTCTCACTTGTCGTCTTACTTCCCTCTGATGTTTCTGTTTGCTAGAGTTAAAAACAATCCTTCCCCGTGACATACCGACATGCTTCATTTGATTATCATCTACAGATAGGGTCTCCATAGTCCCATCCGCTTGCGACTCGCTCATCATAACGACTATAATGGCTAACGTCTGCTATTACCCTAACAAGGATGTTGCGAAATCCGATGTCCCATGCAACACTGACGGGAGACCTGGCCCTTGCTGCGGAAAAGACGCAATCTGCCTTTCCAACAATTTATGTTTGTCAACCACGCAGCCATACACATTGACTCGTGGGAGCTGCACAGATAGAACATGGTCATCTGGTTGCCCGACATGGTGCCGTGAGTCCTTCGCTAACCCGAACACTAAGATTTTACTCAAGTGTCGAACTAACCATACCGAATGATAGGAGATGCGCAATTGGGCTCTGGATCATCCTTAGTCTACCTGAATGGATCAGACGACAGCACTCTATACTGTTGCAATTCAGTTGTCGCCGACCGGGGCAAGACTGTCTGTAGCAATCTTCCAGGGGGTGCTTCTCAAACACCATTTACGGTCACCAGCGGCGAAATTATCCCAGATGTAGCTGGTCTCTCCGGCCTGGTTCGCGCCTCCAACTCTTCATCGTCTGCCCCCAACAACACGGAGATATGTGTCCAAGACTCTTCGAGAGAGACCGCCATAGGTGCTGGAGTTGGTGTCCCTCTGGGCATAATTGCCCTAGGTTGTATGGCGTGGGCGGTATGGGAGAGAAGGGCACGCCAGCGCACAACAACTAGTTCCTCGAGCGAGTTCTCGTTCCTCGAGCGAAATCAGGCCTATGACAAATCATATTCTCAGCGACCGGTGGGCGAACTACCTGCATCTCTTCCAGAAGCCGCAGAGCTGGGTGATGAGGTACGCCAGAGATAATCAGATCCCTTGCTGGCGTGATGCTGAGTGGAGTTGTAGCTTGAGCCTCTTCTTATTCTGGATGCATAACCCTGTGATAACGTGCGATGGGCTATGCAGACACTGACACAAACCTTAAGTCGCTGCTTGTTTAATTCCTGTACTACAGAACCAATTGTCTAATTATCATGATAGTCTTTCCAATGCATTGTGGTTTCTACAGATTCGACTTGACTGCTGAAAAACTCTTTCTTTCGCTTGACCTTGATATCATTATCCGCTTCATGATTGTGTAAGGTTTGCTGCATCGCTAACCTACATTTACCTCTAAGAAACCGGATATAGAAGCTATTGAAGCAGTGCCTCTCTCTTTCAAAAGAGTGGTCTATACCATTTCTCATAAAATAAATATTCTTCCGTGGATAATACTACGGACCCAGTCTCTAAGATAAAAGTATATAAGAACTAGAGATAACTAGAACTGATTTCCTTGTGGACTCAAGATCTAGGGCCCGACCCGGCACTAGGTCGCCTTTTCAGCGGTTCAACCTGCACCCCGCAAACTCGCTACTAGGGCTTAAATATATCGGGGTGTTAGCTCTGAAGGGGCCCAAAATTAGCGTAATCAACGGTTTAAATTGATGCTCGCCATTTACTTTTCTATCAGTTTGGCTTCCTAGATTTCTGGAAGCTGCTTTAGTCGACAACATAGATGCCGCCTCAGCGGACAGCTCACAAGTCGCCAGAAAGAAGTTGGTTGAATCCACCCTCATAGAAGAAATAATGCAAATCGAGCTTGATGGAATGGTTCGAGACATCTAAGTCGAACAGTATCGGGCCAGAGTCATGCAACATCTTGGTAGAGGCGTGGTACTGATGGAAAATCAGTGGGGGTTTGCGTATCTTGTGTCCTGATTGCGTTTGTTGACGCATATCAGCTAGCTACATCGTGGCAGAGTGGGAGATCAACTGGGAGGTATAAAGAGATTAGTTGCCAGGTTCTTTAAAATCCCAAAGAAATTGTATTTATTGGATATAGTTAGGGGTGGTTTAGAGTGGTTATAATATCTGGATACATGCCACCCGCCTACTACGCCTAAATTACAGTAGAGTGGCTACTGACTAGACAAGGCTAAATCTATTTAGGCCTAGTTCTTCTAGCGGCTTAGATAAGCCGATAATCGGCACATACTTATTCAGGGAACGGTTCAGTCTACAAAGAACACGACCTGCGGACGAACACTATAGGAATACCATATTGGAAGTGGCAAAGCTGACTAGAATCCACCTGGAAGTTCACAGTTCCTGAGTCTCGGACCTCCATTCAAGTGGTTTAATTAATTTTAGTTAACTCTGATTGATCCCTTGGCCATGTACAGTCTGACAAGTGTGGCGGGTCAAGCACTAATATGTATGGGTAGGATTTGCCAGCACATCATCGTGGCGCATTGACTTCCACCCGCAGCTGAAACGCACAGAGGGCGATGAATCCACTCTCGACACTTTCCCAGGCGCACGGAGACCTCAAGAATCTCAATGAAGATCCCCCTATAGGGCCTGGAAGGAATCTCGATCTAAAGATCGCCGAGCCTGAGTCCATGCGGGTGGAACCCTGGTCAGTCAGCCACGGTTTGATTTATAGACAATCTGTAATTGTTTATTCATAAGAGCGGGGTTGTTTGGAATCTTGCCTGCTAGAAAAGATACGCTGTTCGTTTTTTGATTTGACCATCGAGTCAGCTGTTTCTTGTGTCGACGAGCCTGTGCCTCATTCACTAGAGTCTTCACATTGCTGATGAACCATCTTTTTATAACTATTGTGGCTCACTCCTTGACCGTAGATGACTACCGATTATCCTTCGGTGGGGTCAATACTGGGTCGATCCATAACCGACCCTCATATTGGTGGACCCAAAGTTGGATGAACGGATCGACGCGTCCGCCGAGCAGTGAGCCAGCAACGATTTAACAACCAATCGACAACGAATGAAAATTTCAGCCAAGGGGACGTGAAGGCAATTGCATATCGATCCGTCAGATTGAACCAGAGATCCCTCGTAGTCACAAGGGATCCGTATGATGCCTTTTGTCATAGCATCAAACTGCCCAAATTGTGCGTTTGATGTGTCACTCAATACAACATTGTTATGCTTACATTTGTCGCTGCAGAGTGAAAATTAGTTGTTCGGATTTTGTCTCACTACTCCTCATCTCTTGTATTTGGGCACCTAATTCAGAGAAATCTCGTAAAGTAGTCAACTCGGCTGTTTGTCTTGTATATCAAGGCACTATCTGCTCCAAGAGCACAGCCACGGAATTATGGCGATATCAACTTGCATCTGTACCACTCGATACAGGCAGACAGACAAAAACCCCGCAATTTCGAGCTGATGCCTTATCCTCAAGTCGTCTACCCCGCTCGCCGATCAGCCTTTATTCATTCGCTCGTGCCAAGGACACGTAGAGTATCTTGCATCGCCATGACACACGGATGTTGCGACGTGGCCCATGGATGCACCGATCAGATGAGGCAATTCATTCTCGTTAGTCAACTATTTCTCTTCTTCTCTCGATTCAAAGCACCCGACCTGGGCTGAGAGCTGAACTATAAATACGTGGGGGGCTGCCCACGTTTATCCTGGAATACAACGACCAGAAAGACCAGTGAAAACAGTATACTATAACTCTTTTCTCTCTGTTCTTCTAGCTAATTATTACCTCTCACCACCAAGGTAAGACCTCCCTACACACTATTATGATCCACTATTTCCTCTGTTCATGCCCTTGTTCTAATTCTCTCCCTAGATGCCCTCCGCGACAGGTGCACTTTCTGCTAACTTTAACAACTTCACTGGGAAATGGAATGTGGAAGGCTACGAGGCTGAGCTCCATGGTAATTTCAGCCAAAGTGTTGAGAACTGGCAGTCCGACGCTACACTCGAATACGACAATGTCCAAGACCTTGTTGGCACCTTCAGCGTCCAATCCGGACCGTCATACGTCGGCGTCCTTGATATTAGCCTGACATTGACCAACCAGGCTGGCAAGCAAATCAAGATCACTGGCCCTCTCTCGTCTCCCATCTCCCAGAGGACCCCCATTGCCGGCCAAGGATCCTGGTCCATCAGAATGTAGATGGAGACCCTTTGGCCCTGGGACAATTGCTTCAATACATTAAGCAGGGAGATGGGATAGGTGGATGAAGATGGCGGAGGGGGATAGGGGATTGCAATTCTAGTCTCGTCCGTTGGATTACATGATATCACCTGGAATGTCGTCTGTCTATCTCTATGTTGTTAGCGTGTAACTATCTCTTGCTCCCTCCAAGCTCCAATAATCTCTAGAGATAAGAGGATGCCAAGTTTGGTAAAATAGGTGTCGCTTATAGAGTAGAGTAAACATGAAGCGAACACATTAGACTTGTGAAACATGACCTCCAGACTATCAAAGGTTCTTTCTTGATCTTTCAACAATATGCTTCTTCTTCCCACTTGAGCCTTGGGTTGTCAAATACACGTCGCTTTCATCATCTATATACCCCCGTCTAACCCATTCTCGCTACCTCTCCTGGCACTTACTAAAAAGCAGGGTCCTGTCTCCAAACTCCTCCCTGCAGATAGATAATTGCTTGGATTTCCTAATATTGGACATATCATCAATAAACTATTATCATGGCGTTAGAGGTGATCACGGTGATAGCGGAGATAGCGGGAATAACATAGCCCGTATGATATGGTATTCAGCCCTACCGGGGGTAATACCATTGTAGACAGTAAATTAGGAAGCCTGCATTGTTCGTTTCCTTTGTGCCTGATTCTGAATATTTAGGCTGCGTGAAAGATCCACAAGGGGTGCTTTGGGTGTTCCGCAGCATAAGGATTCATATACATAGAGGGAAAATACCTCATTGCCTTAGAACATGATATATGTTGATCTTCATATTCATTTCTGTATCGCGTTCTAGCTAACGATTGAAAATGACTGAAAAACTAAGCATACTCCTTGGTACTACTATTCATCTATAAGGTACTCGTGTCGGCACAGGGAATATCAGTACAAGGCAATCCATTAGACTGGCACAACAATCTTGGTGCCACTAACACCACCCTTCAGCTTGTCCAACGCTGCGTTCAATCCGCCCAGACCGCCAGCCTCAACCTGGATAGTGGGACTGGGGATTACTTCACCCGACTGCAGACCGGTCTTTAACCACCCATGGAAGACCTCGTTGATGTGCTTGCTCCTCGCAGCCTCGTCCATGGATGGGAGATTGAAAGTGATCTGTTTGTTGTCGAGGGTCGGGTGGCCTTCTGGGAGAAGGGGCGAGTGTGCAACCCTGGCGTGAGCATCGCCCTTGGTCTCCTTGAGGATGTCCAACGTCGGCTGCAGAGCTCCATCAACAACGCAGTGTGCAGTGTGCAGCTTGACACCGTCCTTCCTCACGGCGGCAACAATCTGGGCGACCACGTCGCTTGCCCTGTAATCGAAAACCGCATGGGCCCCGAGCTTCCTAACCAGGTGGTGGTGCTTAGGACTGGCGGTGGCGTAGACAGTGAAGCCGAGTGTCTTGGCGGATTGAACAGCAAACGTGCCGACGCTGCTCGATGCGCCCCAGATGAGCACCGCTTGTTTGTCCGCGGGAGTGTACCTGGTGTCGAGCGGGATGCCGATGGTGGTCCAGGCAGTCAGGGCAGTCAAGACAGCCAAGGGGAAGACGGCGCCTTGCGCGAAGGAGAGATGGTCTGGAAGTGGGATGACGGCTTCGGATGGTGCCAAAGCGTACTTCTGGAAGGCGCCGTAGTCGGGGAAGCCGTTCTGGTGGAATGATGAGGCATAGGCGATGACTCGGCTTCCTGGGCCAGGGACCGTGGTGACATCTGAGCCCAGCTTGGCGACAACACCCGCAGCATCGGATCCGATGATCGCGGGGTAGATAGGCACAGCAGGCATGCCGTAGTCCCGCTGGAAATGATTGCAGGGGTTCAAGGCAACAGCTTTGGCTTCGATGAGACTTCGTTGGGGCTGGGCTCGGGGGTGGGACGCTGGCCAAGAGACAGGGGACCACCCTGCTGGGGAAGAATGGCGGCTTCGTGTTGTCGGGTCATGGTGGGTGTTTGACGACTTGATATTGTGTTTGCTTTTGTGGGGGCTTTTGCACTGAAAGACCGTTCAACCTGAGCAGGAGAAGTATGTGGAAGGGGAGAACGATAGAAGGTGAACTGTTGATAACTTAGATAAAGCTAAGAGATACATAACCACGGTAGGTTTATATTTCAGAAGTTGCTTGTGACATACTGCAGATAAAGTCTTTACCATTAAAACCGATATGTCCCTAAAGTCCGGTTTTGGGAGATTTATCTTGTTCTTCCTGTTTAGACGGTACCCTGTGACACCAGGATAGAACCCAAGGAATCAGTATGATTGTCGAATTAGAGGAGTTGATATAATAGTTCTTTTGTGCCCCACAGTCCATGAGTGCTGTTGCTCCGGTGTTAAAGCTAGAGGGCTTTCCATTAAACCCGTATACAGTATAGGAATCTCGGAGACTAAATTTGGCGGTTAGATCCGTGGTGAGTATCCGTGGTTAGTATGGTGGGCTGGGACGAATACGAATGGTGGTTAGCGTCTTTTGAAGTGAGAATCTGCAAAAGCTCACCTTGCGTCGAGGACCTACTAACTGCAGACCGGAGACAGACAATTGCTGGCGCAGGCATAACAGATTGGGCAACCTGTCAGCATCACTCTGCCTTCCCTCACTTAAGAATCCGGTATTTCGGGAAATACTCTTGCCAGTTTGGGACTAATAGTACTTGACATATGTACTGAAATAGTAATTTGGCACTAAAATCTTGATTCTATCTTCCATCCGCTAAGGAATCTAACGAGAGAAAAGCTTTCGCATATCTTCTGTAATTAAATCTTCCGTACTGCCATATATCTCCTTTAACCAGTCTTGCCAGAGCCAATCAACCCAACACTGGAAGTCCTCACGACAATCTGCCCAACGTAGAAGAGGTGATATAAAGGTCCCAGGAAATAGATGTTTTCTCAAATGAGCGGCGTCATCCCTTGTGCGCCCAAAGAGAGCACCGCCGAAGTCGAGGAAGACTACCCTCCGCATGCCGCTTCTTGAAGATGCATCGTCAACCAGGATGATATTTCTCCGCTTGAAGTCCGTGAGTAAGATATCTCTCGCATATACTAGACTTTCGAAATCGATCACCTCCTTTAAGATAAGTTGTCGTTATGAAATATTATAGTCATTTGGGTTGGCATTGAGCATTGATAATCCCGGTATATACTCAAGTAGAATTAGTCGGACGGTACGCCTATTAGACTGATCGACCGGTATGGACAAGGAAAAAGAACCATAGAGCTTTGGTATCTGCTTGCCCGCAAGATCGGAAAGCCTCATGTACATAGCCGTTTCGTGGGTATAATGTTTGTCCACACAAGAGAAAGGATTAAGGAAACCGTCATCATCATTAGCGAAAAGGGGGTCATAGAATTTAGCGGCTGCTCTCATCCCTTTCTGAAGACCTTGGCCATCTCCTAAAACGTCAACCATCACCACCTGGGCATTGTGTTGGTCTCCCACTTGTATAAGATCAGTTATGCCCAAGTCGATCTTAAGTGGTTCATCGCAGCCCGGAAGGGGAGGATGGTTTAGGCATCGTTCAACTGGACTCAGCCGTTCTTTTTCCAGGTTGTCAATGTCGCTGTTACAGCAACCGTTCTCGAACACTGGTGTAGGCTCAGGAGGTTTATGTAATTGAACAGTAAAGCGCCAACCGACAGCGTAAGGGATTGCTGGCGTCATTTCTTCCACCGAAATAGACAGGTCATGAGTGATTAAGTCCTTCTGAATATGAGTGAGGCAAACTGCGAAATACAAAGTATGAAACTTTACAACGTTTGGCAGAATAGCTAAAAGCTCTCTTGACTTCAGCATGTATTTGTAGTAGGAGCTGAACAAGAAGTTAGTAGCTGTCCCACGGGTTGGCGCGGGTAGATCTAGAACTCGCCCCCGGAAAGCACGGGGTTCGGGTTCGGGTCGGGTTTAGCGGGTCTCCCGTACCAAATCATAAATATACGTACTTTCTGGACCAAGCCCAGATCAACAAGTCAGGCTATTATGTACTACATACTACCTCGCATAGGAGGATTCCAAATATCGAAAGTTCAAAAAACATAAACATACAACAGGAGGGATTCGCTGGTAGTTACCCACCCAACTACTAACGTCCCGGCGTGTGGCTTCTGCGCGGTCAATAGGTCGCTGCGTGCCCCTGTAGGGTGACCGCAGGTGATGATGCCAAGTCGTCGCGCGCTTAGCGTGGGTATGTTTTAGAGGGGGGTGATAACTTGCCACATCCACCACCCCGCGGTGATGGGCCAGAACATACAGCCGTGCCCGTCCACGTCTGCCTAGGCCATCAGCGCTGCCAGTTCTCTGATTGGTACATAGCTCCGTTCGATCAAACGCCCAGCCTCTTGGCAGCTGTGCGTCGCCACCTTTCCTACCAGTTAGTGAAAGCTGAATGGTTAAGCTGTTTGGACGTGACAGGATAAGCATGTCACAGTCTCCCAAGTTAATATCATTCAGTCCCATCCGGATTTTGGGCGAGTCTCAGAGATATCCTCATAGTATCATATAAGCAGCATGGCGAAATATAACGTAATCGGTAAGCGAGTGATGCATGTAAGTGGGTGACGCACCACCCGCGTTTCGACGCGTCTCAATTTCTTAAAGGATTTGAACATCAACCATATTACCAAATATGTCTAAATTATTAAAATTATATATTGAGTAGGAAGGCAGGGTTATACTTGCTATATTAGCTATAAAAAATCATGAATTTAGTAATCTTAGGAAGGTAGCTGAGGTTAGACTGGCGTTTGGCTAGGTTAGGTTAGGTTAATGGGGTCAGTTATATCTAACCGCTAGGTTATAACTAGGTTAATAGAATTTCTATACCTAACCGTCGGTTAAGTTAAAAAGTGGACGGTTAACCTAGGTTAACTGTACTTAATACCAAGACTGTTAATCTTTACTAAATACAGTAGATGTTAACTGTGGTTAACCTAGTATTAACTTCACCGTTTTAACCGACCGTGAGAATACTCTATCAATAATATTAAAAGGTTCT